ACCCAACCTAACCTAACCTACAACCCAACCTAACCTAACCTACAACCTAACCTAACCTAACCTACAACCCAAAATTGCTTGAGCAATTTAAAAATGTATTAAAGTCATGTTTTTTAATTTTTATTCTGTATTTTTACAAATGCTTATTCTTATTCTTAAATATAAGTTCATTGCACTTTTCTTAGCACATGTTGTTATTTATACTTTTGGTTGTTTAGGTTCATTATATTTATATGTTTTTAGTGTTGATTTTCTGTGTATAAACTTGTATAAACATTAAAACTGACCAATTTGAAATATTCAATTTACTTTTTAATTACTTTTAATAATTATTTGTGTTGTTATCATATATTTACAATTAATATAAAGTATTTGATTTGAAAGATGTGCGTGATGCGATATAATTATATTTTTCAAGAAACACAACTAGAAAGATTGATAATAATGATAATCATATTGATATTGTGATTTGCTTTGTGTGTAATGTTTGAAGTGATGTTTCGTTTAATTTACATTTGAATATCATTTATCGTAATCACATTTCATGCTATTATGTATTAGTTTGGGATTTAATGGCAACTAATTTTCTAAATTACACTTTAAGGCAATACCTTTACATTTGCAACACATTTTTGGAAAACCTTTTTTTAATATTTATTTGATATTTTTCTATATTTGACATAATTATTCTCAATAACACATACTTTATATACTTTTATTGTATATATAATATTAGAACAATTGGATGAAAATACAGGTATTGTTTTTAAAAAATGTCGAATAATGCTATTATGATATAATAATCATATGATTATACGATTGATTTGTAATTAACAAATATTTACATTGTATAAACAATTAAAACACACATTAATAAAACAACTCTATTATACAGTATTGTCAAAACAGTCAAAATATTATAATAATTAGTGTGAATATTAGCGAATCATTTCACACAAATCACACCTTTATTTGTCATAGATTTACGTTTATTTTGAACAAAATAGCAAATATTGAAAATATTTTTAAAATGTGTTCCATTTGGTGACAATTGTCAACCATTTATAGAGTAAACTGTAATTTATGATTACATTTACATTCGCAACACTTTCACAATTCAAACTTTCATCATTTTGTTTTTAGTGAATAGATTTGCTATAGACTTGTTATAGAGATGTTATAATTTAGAAGTTTTGCTCCAATTCTTTGCTTATGACTCGAATATTTTATTAAGCAATGATTTATCAAATTTAATATTTATTTTACGCAAAAATAGTCGATTTTCTTCCATTTATTTTAAATTACATTTAAATTACATTTCCATCATTTTTGAAAAATGAACCATTGCTAAATTGTTACACTTTTTTAATTATAATAATTATTATTCTTACAACTTTTATAACTTAATTTTATAAATAATCGGTGCAATCAATAGTTGGCCAAAATGTTGGATCTTTTCTCAGGCCTTAAACGAATTATAAAGAGAAGAGCGGTTCATATCGATAACGCAGTGTTTCGTCTCCATTGGCTCTTAACTTCAGTTATTTTAATTGCATTTTCTGCTGTCATAACTGCCCGACAATATGGTTAGTAATTCTATAATGTGTTACCAAATGTGAATTCATACAACTTTTAAATATATATATATTCTTATTATTATATTAATGTTGTTTCAATTGAGATTGTATAAGTTAATAGCAAGTTTTCAAGTTAGTTTCAATTTCTTAGCAATACAGTATTATTTAAATAAATTTCAGATAATTATTTGTTTTCTTATTGTTTTCTTAATTGTTATATTATAAAATAATTTGATTTGTTTAACAGTATTATATGTTGAATAATTAACTGTCTTTATAAATATCTTTCACATAAAACTCAATGAATTTTTAAAAAAATTGCTTAAAATTTATTTGTTTTAATATTTGATATTTTGCTCACAATTTGGTAACATTAGATACATTGCTATAATTATTTTACAATAATTTATATAGACAATTTTGAGCATGTGAGTTTATAAAAATATTTTTATTATTTGTTACTATTTAACCTACAGAGCTGTCAGTCTATTTATTCAATTTTCTGTATATTTTTATTTATTTAAAGGGGCTTGGACATATTTTAATGCATAAAATGTTACAATTTCGATGTAAAAATTATTATTTATTTTTAATTTATAAATTAACTATAATATGTGAATTGCCTATACTGTAGATTTGTTTATTATAAAGTAGAACAAATATGTACATTTAATTGTAATACTAATCAATTAATAATAATAATTAAAATGAATGTTATATTTGAATAGTTGGTCAACCGATTGATTGTTTAATAGAAACGAATCAAATTCCAGATTCTATGATCAATACGTAAGTGTTTATTGTTTGTTATATTGTATGATTGAAATGTGCCGAACATAACCTAACCTAACCACCGGCACTCCAAAGGTTGCGTTCATTGTTCATTCTATAATATAGACTATAAGTTCTAGTGTTAGGTTAGGACCTTAGAGAAGTATCGATAGAAAAACTTATTGAAAAATGAACGCGACCTTAGCAATGCCGATCGCTAATTAAAATACACTAATTATTATTGTTTTATTTAATCCTAGTAGTAAAATACTAATAAACTTTTCACAATATTAAAGTCAATATGACAATCTCTATATATTGATAACTTTACAATATTACACTTTAATATATTGCATTTAAATATTACGTAAATTTGTAAATTATGTAAATTGTTATAATTAGTAGATTTAACTGTAATATTCAATTGTTTTATAATTTATATAATTTGTAGCTATTGTTGGATATCTCAGACATTTCTAATCCCATCTGCATTTAACAAAAGAGTTGGTGTAGAGGTTCCGCATCCAGGAGTTGATAATTCACGAAATCTGGCCACAAATGATCGCAAATATTATGCTTATTATCAATGGGTTTGTTTCGTGCTTTTCATTCAAGGCGTACTTTTTTACGTAATTACAATTATTATTGAATTTGTATTACAATTATATAAGTATTTGTTTAATTATTTGTCTTTAGGTTCCGTATTATTTGTGGAAAGTATGGGAAGGAGGGCTCATGAAGTCCATCACAATGGGAATGCAAATTGCAATACTTGCTGATGAGGTATTCTAGTCATATAGAGTTAAATTGACTAGATGAATGTGATTAATTAATTAAATACAATATCATTTCAATCACTGTTTGTTATTTTTCTTATTCTAGGAAAGAGGTTATAAAAAGAAACTATTAATTGAGTACTTGTATCGTCACCTCAAACTACATCATTATTATGCATTTAAATACTTTTTCTGTGAGATCTTATGTTTGATTAATATTATCGGACAAATGTATTTGACGGACAAATTCTTTGACGGAGAGTTCATGTCATACGGTCTGAATGTAATCAGTTATACACAGAAAGAAGTGAAACAACGAAACGACCCAATGGTGTATATATTCCCGCGTATGACTAAATGCACGTTTCATTTCTATGGATCTTCTGGTGACGTTCAGAAGAAGGACGCCTTATGTCTTCTCCCGCTGTCAGTCATTCATACTTTTATCACTTTATTTTACTATTATTAAGTATTGTCAGGCATTCAGGCATTTAAAATTACATTTTATATTAATTATATTGAATTTGTTTATATTTGTAGTACTTATGAAGTAATAGTACATTTGTATTTTGTGTTGACAGGAATGTAGTGAATGAGAAGATTTATATCTTCATCTGGTTCTGGTTCGTCATTTTATCGATCATCACATTTTTGGTCATAATATCGCGACTCTTCATCTTCTTCTCCGTCAGCATTCGGTCGCGAATTCTGAAAACTCGCTGTCGTTTCTCTAATTCTAAATATTTAAACATTATTTGCAAATATGGAAATATTGGAGATTTTTTTGTACTTTATTTATTGGCTAAAAATATTGATCCCATTATTATGCAAGATATTGTCGCAGAGATCGGTAAGCGATTGGAAAGAAACGAATTTATTACTCATTTGTCTAATGGAGACACAGAAAGAATTAATATGTTATGAATATTTTACTAATCAAATCTAACAACTTTTTTGTTATTCATTTATTTGATATATTGTGAAAGCCATATATAGTAGTGTAAAGCCCTTTACACTTGAAACACATTCGGTATAATCAATATTCTACATGTAATATATTATACAGTGTCCTAAGACATCTCCATCTGCGAGATCATTATATAGAGCTTTCATTTTACATACTGTACTTACGTTTTAATGTATTTAAAGTTACATACCGTTTTACTTTATTTTTAAATGCTATCCATATATTCATTTAATAAATAATTTTTAAACATTATATTTATTAATTTTTTCTCAAATCTTTACTGTTTATCTATTTATAACAATAATATAAATTGTATTTTATTTGAATTCATGATGGTTTTAGAAGATTTAAGTGATTTTCATAATTTTTTGTTTAAAAAAGATAAATTTGAGAGAAGAGTGAAGTACAGAACATTTCTCTAAAATAAGGATATGTTTTCAATTTATATTTGCGCAAATTTCCTTGATATTCCTAGATTTGAATTGTCAGTTACTGCAAAAATACATACATTCTGTACATACATATTTATACATACAAGTATGTATGTTGATATTTACTGTATATTGAATTTTGTAATATTACAATATAACAATAGAACTGTTAAAATGTGTTAATTTATTTTCGAATATAAAGTTATGTATTATTAATATAATGACAATTAAAAACAAAATTTTGAAATAAATATTGTGTACACTATTTGTACACTATTTTGACCAATATTGTTAGCTTTTGTACACTATTATCATTTGCCCACCTGGTCACACTAACTACTATTGTTAGCAATATCCACGGCTGGTTAGAGGGAGGATAGGGCTCAAGTTAATTGAACGTGATTATTGAACCACCAATGTAATTCTAAGCTATAATTTATTATAAGCGTTATTATATTTATAGTTATTTTCTTCCCTTTTAATTATAAATTAATATTAAAAATGAATATTAAAACTAATAGTCATTTTTTGAATAAACGATTTATTTAGGTATATAATAAACTCCATTTTTATATTATTGTATACTATTTATGACTAATATTCAGTCATAAATAGTATACAATACTAATGATCATTAATTGACCACATTTTATGTCTTATTTTCCTATTTTTGAGGAAGATATGGGAAGTAAGGAAGATTCCTTATTTTCCGGGAAGATATAAGATATGGGAGGGAAACGATGAACCTTATATATGACTAATACAAAAATAGTGTATAAATTACAAAACACTTTTTTATAAAATTTACACAATTGTGTAAATTGAAAGCACTGTTGAAAGCTTTTAAAGCAGTGTTGGTAATATCTATAAATTTCATTGAAAACACACTAAATTAAACTTATATAGTTTGTTAAATACTATTTTTACAGCTCATTTATCCAACATTTACTTCTTGGATTTTTCTATGTCCAGGAATTACGCCTCCCTGCACTCTGCAAAAATTGTTTATTTCCTGGATAATCCAGGACGTCCCTGGACGTCTGGGAAACCTACGTACTAATTGTATTGTGGCATAAACTGTATGATAAGTTAATAGAAGGTATTAATTAAGTGAAGAAAATCTCTAATTTCATGTCACTATCAAATATAATTTATTTCTAAATTATTTAAATGTATAATTATTGTTCAAATTGAATAAAAACACAATTCCCCAATTTTCCCATTTTGACTTTTTAATTCCCGAATTTGGATGTTTTTACTCCCGAGTCACAGGTCAACAAAAATAAAACCATTATTAAACATTAAACAAGTATTATAAATAATAATAATAAGTTGAATACTCAACTACTTTAAGAATTAATTGATTTGAATTTAATATGGTTTGCGAAAATTACTTTTTTATACGTAATAAATTCTATCTCCAAACAAATCACATGAGTTTTTTAATTATAGTTCAATATAATCACAAGAATGTGAAAATTTATCTACCATTTAGTACTAATTAAAGAAATTTGTAATTTTAATGTTTCCCTCATTAAATACATGTCTTATAGTATTTTAAAATATTTTATAAACTTTAAAAATAATTTGTAGTTTTTATGCAAAAGTTTGTGTACAAATTAAAATATATAATATTACTGTAAATAAATTGTATTGTTGTTGTGCACTAAAGTAGTGCATAATCACAATATAATGTAAAGAATACAATGAATATTGTACTGTATTGTGAACATCTANAAAGTTTGTGTACAAATTAAAATATATAATATTACTGTAAATAAATTGTATTGTTGTTGTGCACTAAAGTAGTGCATAATCACAATATAATGTAAAGAATACAATGAATATTGTACTGTATTGTGAACATCTAGTAAACAAATAATTCAATTATAGTTAGCAAAAATTTACTCTAAAAATTAATTATATTTTTACATGTATATAATATACAGATAATATAGGATATATTCTTTTCCAAAATACTGCACAATATATAAGTTTTACAGTAGTTTTGTATTTATATATAGATATAAATCGTTTGTTTAATTTTGTGGTGAAAACGAGGCAAAAATTAAGGAACTTTTGGTGTGATATTTATAAAC